GACTGAAACTGGGTACTTACTTAAACAAATCTTAATAACTCTGGATGAGCTAAAGACACAAGACCCAACACTCTGGATGAGCTTAAGACACAAGACCCAACACTCTGGATGATCTTAAGGCCACTATCGAAGCATCCTGGACCTCCATAACACCTCAGCAGAGCCACAGGCTGATTGCCTCCATGCCACGCCACATTGAAGCAGTCATTTCTGCCAAATGATTCCTGACCAAGTATTGAGTGCAGAACTGAACATAATTATTTGAAGGTTGACTTTTTTTTTTGTATTAAAAACACTTTTCTTTTATTGGTCAAATGAAATATGATAATTTTTTTAGAAGGACCTGTGTATTTCTACTTAAGTAATGTGAATACTTTAGACACCTCTGGTTATAGTTTACAGTCAGCCTAATGTCTGATTGGTTACTTCTTTGTTGTCTTTACCTAATGTTGTTTATTTGTTTGTTTGTTTGTTTGTTTGTTTGTTGCAGCGGCCTTTGATAAGAAGTTCAAAGCTGCCCACTCTCGTCTCATCAGCTCTCTGGGTCGGGAGGAGCTCCACAGGAGGCGGGCCGAGCCCCCCAGCTCTAAAGCCATCGACTGCAGGCGCAGCTTCCACCCCCCTCTGGAGTGCTGAGGGGTCCTGGTCCTGGTCCTGGTCCGTGTTGGGGGAGGTGGCAGCAGACCCGACCCCAGTCTTCCTCCTACACCTCTCTGCTGCCCCCTGCTGGAGTCCCCCTCAGACTGACCTGAGAGGGTTTAAAGTTCAGGGTCAGAAGGGTCTAAACTCCAAACGGGGGTCTGAAACAAGGGGTGGGGGGCTCACCACAGATCTGGTTCTTTAAGGACTTTAGAAAAACTAAACCAAACTGTTAAATCCAGATTTAAAACATGTTTGAGGACTCAGAACCTTTCAGAGGGATTTGATTTGGCACAGGTCTGGAAGGAGACCCTGACTCTGGACCAGCTGCCAGGATCCACAGACTGGTCCAGGATCTGGTCAGGGATCTCCTCTGATGTCATCAGGATGATGTCATCAGGATGATGTCGTCTGAACAGAAGAGCAGTAACGTTTACAGGAAGTGATCATGTCCGATCTGTCTGACAGGAAGTATCAACTTTACACCCACAGACGTCTGATCTTCATCATCATCATCACCATCATCATCATCACCATCATCATCACCACCATCACCATCATCATCATCATCACCATCATCATCACCATCATCATCATCATCACCATCATCACCATCATCATCATCATCATCACCATCATCATCACCATCATCATCATCATCACCATCACCATCATCATCATCACCATCATCGTCGTCATCATCATCATCACCATCATCATCATCATCACCACCATCATCATCATCATCATCATCACCATCATCATCACCATCATCATCATCATCATCATCATCACCATCATCATCACCATCATCATCATCATCATCATCATCACCATCATCATCACCATCATCATCATCACCATCATCATCATCATCACCATCATCATCACCATCATCACCATCATCATCACCACCATCATCATCATCATCATCATCACCATCATCATCACCATCATCATCATCATCATCACCACCACCATCATCATCAACATCACCATCATCACCATCATCACCATCATCACCACATCATCACCATCATCACCACATCATCACCACCATCATCATCATCATCATCATCATCACCATCATCATCATCATCACCATCATCATCACCATCATCACCATCATCATCACCACCATCATCATCATCATCATCATCACCATCATCATCACCATCATCATC